TGGGACAGCTGAATCCTTCATGGACTTCAAACATAAAAGACGTACTAGTGAAGTACAGAATTGAGTACTCCTCTGAGGTCCTTTACAAGGAGGTAGACCTAGAGGTACACACAGCTGCTCTCCTTTGTCTTTCAGCTGTTCCCTTTAGGACTTGCTGCAGCAGATCATCTGTTGTCATATGACACTACACCCAGCATCCTCCTCTGTCACACCAACACTCTGCATGTCCTCCTTTCATAAATCTTCTTTGTGGTCTTCCTCTTTTCTTCCTGCCTCGCAGCTCCATCTTAACCTTCAATTGTCCGATACATCCACTGTCCCTCCTCTGCACATGTTCAAACCATCTCAGCCTTGCCTCGCTAACTTTATCTTCAAACGGCTCAACCCCTCTGATGTGCTCATTTCTAATTTTGTCCATTCTGGTCCATTCTTGCTTCTACTGACTTTCATTCCTCTTCTCTCCAGTGCATACCTCCATGTCTCCAGAATCTCTTCCACCTGCTCCATGCTCTCGCTACAGATCATGTTGTCTGCAATCATCATAGTCCACAAAGACTGAGTAGTCTATTGTGTTTTCATCGGTCACCCATTGTGAAGCCTTAGGGTGCTTCACAAATCAGCTTCCCTCTCTAGACCCTGGGGTTAAGACCATCTTTATAATCCTTTAAGTCTTTACGGCTCAACTGCTGTTCATGACAACTGCATTGGATGTGAATTTTTATACAGCTCCCCAAAGTCTATGAAGGTTTGAAGTTATGCATTTGGTGGTTAGTTGTTATAAAAGTCAGTCTAAAGACTCCATAATACAGAATTCCATTTACTGTCAGTTTGCTGATAACCAGTGCCAGAATTAACAAATGATTCCCGAGCTCTGCCTTCTGAGACTGACTCATCTCATTGTAGCTTATATTTTTGTGGTTACTTTTTTCAAACATACCTTTATGATGATGCTTTTGATTTCTACCTAAGAATGAGGACAACACACTGGATTCTCTGAAAGAAGGCGAGGAGGTTAAAGTGCAAGTCGCTATTAAACCTGATTCACCTTTTGATGGCCCTTGGAGCAGGTGGTCAGATCCTGCGCGAGCTTTGGTTCCCCAAAGTGCAGGTGCGTCCAAGCGAGAATTACAGAGAGAATAAAATGGTATCCATTAAACAGCACCTGGTTGCTCAGCAATGATCTTTTCCATGCTTTTCAGATGACACTGCACTTTTATGCTTCACCTCTGACCTGAAAAATGTCACCTGTCACTGGAATTCAAGCAAATATGATAAAAACAACTTTGGACTTTTTTACCAAATCCTTCACAGGTAACACAAAACACTCGTTCATCACTTCGTGAATTATTACGCACAGGTCATTTTTCCATCCACCTGTGTTGTGGCAGGATTTCATTTAGTGATTTTATGTTTGGCTGAGATAAAAAAAGGCTGAAAAAAATAAATAAAAAGAAACCAGAATTTGTTCATAAACAGAAAATAAACAAGCGACTGTTTAAGGGATATTGTACACAGCAGTAGTGATATTTATGTAGGTTTTCTTATTTCTTAATATCCTCCTTAGTAAAGACTCAGATCAAATTCTAAGAAGTGTAGAATTAGAAAAGAAGGCCACAACAAACAAAAGCAGCAAAATGATTGCTTTCCTTTCATTTTGCTTACACTGTACATGCTATACTTACAAAAGCATCCATCCAAGCATCCTTCCATCTTATTGTCACACAGTTTGAGCACTAAAATACTCAAACTAATCCAGAGTTTTGAACAGGTCAGTTCAACA